AAGAAATGCATCCAGCCTTTGTATTCTTGAAGGAAAAAGATTGATCATCCCTTTGCTCAAAGAAAAAATACAAAATGGCAGGCTATCAGACGGATCAGCCGACCATTTGATTGAATAACAGAATGTAAGAAAACTTACAAGATATGAAACTTGCACAAGGCTTGCTCCTTTGTTTGATTCTAAAAACTAAAAACTAAAACTAGTTTGTAGAGAGAAGGGAGAGGTTTCTTCAACTCTAGAGAGAAGGAAGAACTTGAAGAATTGTGTTCTGAATGGTGTAATCGTGTGACAACCCCACCTCCCCCTAAGGCGAACCAAAGGGCTCGGCGGGCCGCCTGCCTAACTCTCGCCGAGACTCACTACAGTCCTCAAATAAAATACACCACTCACATCCAACAACATAGAGTACAACCTCAAGAATAAACGAAATAACATTTTCAAACTTAGAACGAGATAAGATACATTACAAATCTCAAGTAAGGGTATCATTCTCCGAATAAGACAAAAGTCCTCAGTTCTCCAATAATTACATCAAATACTTATCAAGTGAATCAAATTCAAATTATATATGAGATATCCCTTCAAGCACTAATAATTCAATACAAGCGCTTTCTTTGGCCTCGAGCCCTGTGGGGAAAAAGTATTTTTGGGGGTCACTAACTAAGGCGCCTCAGAACTTCCACTTCCAAACCTGTTAAGGAAGACAAATTGGGGTAAGCTAACGCTCAATGAGGCCAAGGGAAAAACATGCAAGCATGCTAGTAAAGACACAATATAAAGCAATAACTCGAGTAACAAGTAACTGCGAAACATTAAGCAACTAGGGAATTTAATCACAATAAAAGAATACGGAAGCTCTCAGGAGCTAATCCACGCACGATCCAAGCTTAGGTAGTTGACCCTCCGTCAACTTTCACAGTTATCCATGTAGAACTCCACTTACTACCTCCAGCCACCATGACACCCTCTTGGATCCATAACCAAACAAGCATGTAGGTGGTATCATTTAACAAGTATACCTAGCAAGACCCCTTATTTGGATCAAGCTATAACACTTCCCAAGGTTCACCAAGTTTTCCCGACCAAGACCTCACAATTGGCGGCGAGATTACGAGGTTTAACTATTGGGTTTGGGCGTCCCCACAGGTCAGGTTTTCAAAACAAATCAAGTTTTAATCGATGAGATTTTTTTCTGCATTCGACTTCAGATCATGTACATGTAAAATCCAGTAATTTCATGTAATTCATGTCGCAAGTCATGTATTGATCCAAGTAAAGGAGATGAAGTGCGGTAAAGTACACACTTCCCTCAACCAGTATAGTTCATGTAACAACAAGTTCAAGTAGAGTTCATGTAGGCAACAAATCTCAAGTGAAGTACAGGTAAACATGCACTTGACACTCACCAAGTATCAAAAATCAAAGTTTGAGAAATTAGCTCTAAAACGCTTCGCCGGGAGTTCCCTCGAAGTCCTCTTGAGATCCTGAAGGTGTGCAATAATGCATTGTATATCAAATTCCAGGCCATACAGTATTCGTGTAAAGAAAAGAAACAGTCAATTTTGACTCCAATATTCCAGTTTCCAAAGTATTTCAGTCCATAAGGAACCGACTTTCAAATGAGGTCTCAAGTGATAGGTGAACTCAAGTTCACCATGAAAATAGGTTTGAAATGCTCTACGAGTTGTAAAAATGTAACCTAGGCCCTTAAAAGAACACTTAGGTTCAAATTGGAAAATTTCACTTTTCGAGTCATTCTTGGAAATATCAGTCTGGAAGTTCGGAAAGTCTAAAAATGGAAAATTTTACACCGTCAAAAACTTAATTCGAAGCATAACAACTTTGTAGAAGGTTACTTTCCAAGAATCAAATCAGAAACAAGTCAATTTCTCCAAGAAAGTTTACTATTCATAGAAGATAGGTCAAAACAGTCCAAGTTTTTCCAATAACTTTGGAATTTTTGTCAAAATCATAGAATCAAAACCAGTCTTTGAAATTTGATATGCATGTAAATTTCCAATCCAGGTTTCAAACAAAAAAATGAAACTCGATTCCAATGTTCCTAGCTCAAGAAATAAAAAGTTGAAGTTCGCTAAAATTCCTAGACTGTTGGCCTTTCCAGAAATTTTCCAGATTTAATGCACTTCGCTAATTAGGCCGTATCTCACTCGATTCTCAGTGAAATTGAAAACGGTTGGTGGTGTTAGAAACTAGGTTCACAAGGATATATTTATACAGAAGAAATCATTTCCAAAATTCAGACATAAGCGGTTCAAAATCAAGCAACAAAATGGATTTTTTGGATAGTCTCGGATGAACAGTAACAAACAGGCAGCCAACTTTCAAAACTCGCCACGAATCGTTCGGGACGAACTAGAAAATGATTTTGGTACCATTTTAAAGCTCTAAGAGTCTAATTTCAAATGCCGCAAACGGCACTCAATTTCGATCAACGAGCAAAACGTTATAGCTACACAAATATTGCTGGTCAGAAAATTCTGGAGCTTGTTCCAGTTTTGCTTCTTTACTTGTAACTCAAAATTTAACCAACCATTTGGGTTGATTTTTGGTAGACAACCGCAATACACATAGCACAACATATCTACACCAATTTGGAAGCTCAATTAGCACCAGAAAATTTTCGAAATTACAGGGCAGCAGCAAACAGGAAAGTCGGCAGCAAATCAGAAATTTCAGACAGTACCTTCTCCAAATTTCTAACTTTCTTCCAACTTCATTACATCAATCATTCTATATGCATGTAACATAGCACAATATCAGCAACCACAACATGTTAATTCATCACATCAGCCACCAATAAACATCCTCAAACCCTCGAGCATGTCATGGAATTGCAAGAACATAATTACTCAACCAATCAACCCAAATTCTACCATAGGTTGCAAACCCATGGTACCTTTGCTCCATTTGAGCTATAATTTTGCAAGATTGAAGTGTGGGTAAGTGAGTTACCTCAAGAACTTAGTTGGACAGCTTTAGAGCAGAAATCTTGACCGAAATTCCTCCAAGAAAATCGATGAACAGCCCCCTCTTCCAAGCTAGGATCAAAGCCCTCTAATGGATGATGAAATTTGGAAGTGGATTGAAGTAATTTTGTAAGGATTTTGGCTAGATTTTTCTTCCTATTTTCGGCCAAACAGAGAGTGAAGAGAGGAGAGAGAGTGAAATTAGATTTTGTAATGAAAGTGGAGTGATAGGGTATCATTTGTTAGTAATTTTATTATTAATTTCCCCTTCTATCCCTGACAAATATTGCGTTAATTGCTGATATTTACTCATATTTGATATTTGGAATCAATTTCAGGAGTGAAGCAGGAAATTACCAAAAGGAGGGAACGTACAAAGTCTTAAAAGCTAAGAAGGAATTCGGCAGACTTGTGCCAATTGGGGGGCCCACGAAGAAGCAAAGGCTTTTCTTCAATTGGGCTTTTGAACATACGAGGAGAAGTTTGTTCCTTGTAAATCTTTTGCTTGCTTCACAATTGCGGTGGGACCAGAGACCATATAGCCTTAGTCAACTTCCTTTTGTTGATATAAGTAGAGACGTACAGGAGCAAAAATGGGGGATCCCTTCTTACGGTTTTTGGGCTCCTAGCTTTTAGTGGAGTTTTTTTTAGTTTTCTTTCTTTTTTTTCCTGGCTGGCCTCTGACACACGCCAGGTGTTCGACAATATTCCCCAACGGGAAAAACACTTCTTATTCCTTGTTTTCGAGTAAAACGCAATGTCTTTGCAATCTATTAATTCGTGTGGTGATTTAATTATGCGGCGTGGCTAGGCCTTCCAGCTAGTCAAGGGTTAACTCAATGGCGCAGTCTCGAAAATCTGTGAGATCTAATTAGTTTACACGTGTTTCTTAATTTATTAGTATTTGCACCTTGTTTGCTTGAATTTTCATGGGATTATTTTATTAATTGGATGTCAAGGGCCAAGTGTTCAATATGATTTATTAATCTCGTGCCAGTTTAGTCAATTAAATCCATAATTGTTTGATTGATTAATATTAGTGGCGACTGGTGTGTTTACACATTAGGGGAACGTGCAATCTAATTTAAATAACTCTCGTAGCGTGTTATTGATTAGAGCTAGGTTTTTCTAGTTATTAATGCAATTGAAAAATTAATTCCTACGGTCATACCTAGGAGTATTTTCTGGTTAGGGGTGATCAATGGTCGTACGTTGGTTATCAATAATTTAAGGAAAAATTGGTTGTCAGAGTTCATCGGCAACTATAACTAGTCTATTGATAAATTAAGTGAACCTCTCTTGCATCAATGATCGGATAAGTGGACTGTGCCTGAGTAGTTGTATCCTTGGCTAGAATTTATTCATTCTTGATTTAACTCCTGCTATATTTGTGCTAGTTAATTACTTATTTATTTCTGTTGAATTATTCAATTGATTTTAGTTTCATTCTGGTGAAATCCCCCCTTACCAATTGGCATTTAAAAAGAGACAAATATCCCCAGTTCCTGAGGAGACGACCCTACTTGCCACTGTCTACTATTCAGTAATTTTCGTCAACTAATTAATTCTGGTATATCGGGTTAAGCAAACTCTTCGGGAACAGGGTGAATCAAGTAACCCATTGCACACCTAGAGTCCCTGCTCCAGTACCTAGGATTAATTATTGACTGCTTTTAGTGGTAGTTAGGATTTTATTATTATTATTGCACAGGTTCGGCACCTGTCAATTTTTGGCGCCGCTGCTGGGGAACTGGCGTTATCATTTGTTTCTTTTTAAATTCAATTTTTGTTCTAAATTTTCTGGTATTTTTCTAGTGTATGCCTAGGTCTTCTCGTACAGGTGATTTGATTTTTGACCCTGAGGTAGAGAAGACCGCGCGTAGAACAAGAAAAGAGACCAGACAGCTCAGAGAGGAGCACTCCAGTGCTGCATCTCAGAGACCTGAGCCAGGAAGTGAACCGACGGATTCGTTTGGTGACACTTTGAGTGACGCTGAGCAAGAGGAGATTGCCATGGCTAACGCACGAACATTGAGGGAGTTGGCTGCTCCTAACTTAAATCAGCAGCCTTTGTGCATCACAGTCCCAAATTTGGATAACAGCACTCCATTTGAATTAAAATCTGGCCTTATTCAACTCTTACCTTCTTTTCATGGTTTACCAGGTGAGGAGCCGTATAAACATCTGCAGGAGTTTGATGTTGTGTGCAATAGTATGAAACCCCCGGGGATCACAGAAGAGCAAATAAAAATGCGGGCATTCCCTTTCTCATTGAAAGACTCTGCGAAGGACTGGCTGTACTACCTGCCACCAGGCAGCATTACCACGTGGGATCAGTTGCAGAAAAAATTTCTGGAAAAATATTTTCCTGCATCCAAGGCTGCAAGTTTAAGGAAAGAAATTTGCGGGATCAAGCAGTACCCAGGGGAGTCGCTGTATGAGTACTGGGAGCGATTCAAGAGGTTGTGTAGTAAGTGCCCCCAACACCAGATAAGTGAGCAGTTACTCATACAGTATTTTTATGAGGGGCTCCTCTTCAGAGATAGGAGCATAATTGATGCTGCAAGTGGAGGGGCACTAGTGAACAAAACCCCTCAGGAAGCACGGGAATTAATAGAAGGGATGGCAGAAAATTCACAACAATTCAGTACGAGAGAGGATGTCCCAATACGCAAGGTGAATGAGATAGAGACATCCTCTATCCAGCAGCAGCTAAATGAGTTGACCTCAGTTGTTAGGCAATTGGTGGTAGGGAATGCATCTCAGGCCAAGGTGTGCGGGGTTTGCACTGGTATGGGTCACACTGCAGACATGTGCCCAATGATTCAGGAAGAAACTGCAGAACAGGTGAACATGGCTGGCCACGCGCCAGCGCCAAGAAGGCCCTATGACCCTTACTCAAGCACTTACAACTCCGGGTGGAGAGATCACCCCAACCTCAGTTATGGAGGAAATAAGTAGCCCAATTTCGCACCGAACAGGCAGTCTAATTTCGTGCCAAATAAGCAACCGGGGTACCAGCAGCAGTACAACCCCGACCACCTCCGCCCCCAAGCTCTGGTCCATCTTTGGAGGAGATGATGAAACAAATGATGGCAACCATGACGCAAAATCAGCAAAGGACGGAGGCAACTATTACGCAAAATCAGCAAAGGACGGACTCCGAAATGCAGGACATAAGGAATCAGATAAGTCAGATGGCCACAGCAATTCACCGTTTGGATTCCCAAAACCAAGGTAAATTGCCATCTCAACCCGAATTAAACCCGAAGAATGTGAGCGCCATGACCTTGAGAAGTGGCAAGGAGGTTCAAGGACCTGACCCGTTGATTCCTATGGACAAGGACGAAGATCGAATTGAGAAAGAGCTGGAAGAGGAGGGCGGTGACAATAAAAATTCAAAGGTAATCCCGGACCCACTCATGCCTGTTAGATCTAACCCACCTCCCTTCCCAAGCAGATTGGAGAAACCAAGGAAGCAGGACAAGGAGAAAGAGGTTCTAGAGATCTTTCGCAAAGTGGAGATCAATATTCCCCTTCTAGATGCGATTAAGCAGGTACCCAGATACGCAAAATTTTTAAGGGACCTGTGTGTCAACCGAATGCGGTTGAGGGGAGATGAGAGAGTGGTAGTGGGAGAAAATGTGTCAGCAATTCTGCAACGAAAGCTTCCTCCGAAATGCGGGGACCCAGGTATGTTCACTATTCCTTGTAGAATAGGCAATTCCTTGATTGGAAAGGCTATGTTGGATTTAGGAGTCTCAATTAATGTGATGCCCAAGTCTATATATGCTTCATTGAATTTAGGTCCCTTAAAAGAGACTGGGATAATAATCCAACTGACTGACCGAACTAATGCATACCCTGACGGGTTGATTGAGGATGTTTTAGTGAAAATTAATGAATTGGTTTTCCCTGCTGATTTTTACGTGCTTAATATGGATGATGAACACTCTCACGACCCATCACCTTTACTGTTAGGTAGACCCTTCTTGAGCACAGCTCGAACTAAAATAGATGTTAATAAGGGCACCCTATCTATGGAATTTGATGGTGAGGTTGTTCATTTTAATATTTTCGACTCTATGAAATATCCTTCAGAATCACATGCTAGCTCTGTTTTCTCTATAAATGCTATTGATTCTGCTGTACGTGAAGTTTTTGAAATTGGAGGCAGGGATGAGCTGGAAGTTGCCTTGACCAGGCACTTCGAGTCAGAAATGACCGCTGAGATAGAGTTGAGTAAAGAGCTCAAATGTGTGATTGGAGCGTTACAGACGTTGCCAACCACAAAGATAAGGTATGACCTCGCACCCGTTTTTATACCTGAACCTCACCAGAGGCTACTTCCATCTGTGGTGCAGGCGCCTGCCTTAGAGTTGAAACCGCTGCCAAAACACCTAAAGTATATGTACTTAGGTGAGGGGGAGACACTCCCAGTGATTATTTCCGCCACTTTATCAAAAGTCCAAGAAGACAAATTGATTCGAGTTTTGAGAGAACATAAGCAGGCGATAGGATGGACAATCGCCGATATCAAGGGAATTAGCCCCGCGGTATGTACACATCGGATTCGACTCGAGGAGGGCGCTAGACCTATTCGGCAGGCTCAAAGGAGATTGAATCCTCTCATGATGGAGGTAGTGAAGAAAGAGATCCTAAAACTACTGGATGTGGGGATAATTTTTGCTATATCAAATAGCCCCTGGGTAAGTCCAGTATAGGTGGTCCCAAAGAAAGCGGGAGTGACGGTAGAGTCAAATCAGGAGGGTGAGCTCGTACCAGTCCGGAAGCCCACTGGGTGGCGGCAGTGCATAGATTATAGGAAATTGAACGCCGTCACGAAAAATGATCACTTTCCCCTTCCTTTCATTGATCAAATGGTAGAGCGATTAGCAGGTCGAGCTTATTATTGTTTTTTGGATGAATTTTCAGGTTATTTCCAGATTGCTATCTCACCGGAGGACCAGGAGAAGACTACCTTCACGTGCCCGTTTGGAACATTCGCATACCGGAGGATGTCATTTGGGCTATGCAATGCACCTGCTACCTTCCAGCGCTGTATGGTAAGTATTTTTTCAGAATATGTTGAGAAGATTATTGAGATTTTTATGGATGATTTCAGTGTGTATGGGGAAAGTTTTGATAACTGCCTAGATAACCTGAAATTAATTCTAATAAGGTGCCTAGAAGCTAATCTCGTGCTCAATTGGGAAAAATGCCATTTTATGGTCGAGCACGGGATAGTTTTGGGTCATGTGGTATCGTCTAAGGGTATTGAGGTTGATAAGGCAAAAATAGATGTTATATCTACTTTACCTTACCCCGCGAGTGTGCGGGAAGTGCGTTCGTTTTTGGGTCACGCAGGTTTCTACAGGAGATTCATAAAGGACTTCTCCAAGATTGGAGCGCCCCTGTTCCAACTTTTGCAGAAAGAGGTACCCTTCGAATTCGATGAGTCATGTAAGGGGGCGTTTGATAGGTTAAAGGAGCTACTGACCTCCTCACCTATTATCCAACCCCCTGATTGGAACCTACCGTTCGAGATCATGTGCGATGCCAGCGACTATGCCGTGGGCGCGGTGCTGGGTCAAAGAGTGGGGAAGGCAGCCCATGCTATATACTACGCCTCTTGAGCCTTGAACGGAGCTCAGTTGAACTATTCGACCACCAAAAAGGAGCTTTTAGCTGTAATTTTTGCTTTAGAGAAATTTCGGTCCTGTTTACTTGGTGCTAAAGTTATTATTTTCTCTGATCATGCAGCCCTGCGGTATCTGTTGACCAAAAAAGAGGCAAAACCGCAACTGATAAGGTGGATACTACTGCTCCAAGAGTTCGACTTGGAGATCAGGGATAAGAAAAGGGCTGAAAATCTGGTAGCAGATCACTTAAGTCGAGTGCAAGTCGTAGAAGATAATATCCCATTGAGAGAAACTTTTTCCGATGAGCATTTATTTTTTATTAATTTGTCTTTGCCTTGGTATGCGGATATGGTTAATTTTCTAGTTACTGACAAGTTTCCTGCAGGATGGCCTAAGGCAAAAAGGGACAAATTGAGGAGTGACGCAAAGTCTTACATCTGGGATGACCCTTACCTCTAGAAACGTGGTGCTGACCAAATCATTCGTCGATGTGTAAGTGAACATGAATTCCAATCTATTTTAGTTTATTGTCACTCTTTTGCATGTGGAGGTCACTTTGGACCAAAGAGGACTGCTCGTAAGGTTCTAGAGAGTGGATTTTATTGGCCGACCCTCTTTAAGGATGCCTACTTATTTTGTAAGTCATGTGATAAGTGTCAACGAGTAGGTAATATTTCTCGAAGGGATCAAATGACCCAAACCCCAATGATTTTTGTTGAGATTTTTGATGTTTGGGGTATAGACTTTATGGGCCATTTTCCTTCATCTTTTGGCTTTTTGTATATATTGCTTGCCGTGGATTATGTCTCAAAATGGGTGGAAGCAAAAGCCACCCGTACTAATGATTCCAAAGTAGTTGCAGAATTCATCAAGTCTAATATCTTTGTTCGCTTTGGAATGCCGCGAGCAATTGTAAGTGATCGGGGTACCCATTTCTGCAACAAGACGATTGCTGCGCTTTTCAGGAGGTATGGTGTCTTGCATAAGGTCTCCACTTCCTACCATCCTCAGACAAACGGTCAGGCGGAAGCATCGAACCGGGAGATCAAGTCAATTTTGGAGAAAATGGTTCGACCTGATAGGAAGGACTGGAGTGTGAGACTTGAAGATGCCTTGTGGGCATATAGAACGGCGTACAAGACACCAATCGGCATGTCCCCTTACCGTTTGGTATTTGGGAAGCCATGTCACCTCCTTGTCGAGTTCGAGCATAGAGCATTTTGGGCGGTCAAGCAATGCAACATGGATATCGAAGAGGGCGGAGTTCAAAGGAAGCTACAGTTACAGGAATTGGAGGAGATTCGCAATGAAGCCTACGAGAATGCTGTGATTTATAAGGAGAAAAACAAGATTTTTCATGACCAGCAGGTCTCTAGGAAGACGTTCGAATGTGGGCAAAAAGTTCTACTGTACCACTCAAAATTGAAGTTATTTCCGGGTAAGTTACGTTCTCGGTGGATCGGTCCCTTTGTGGTAACTAATGTCTTTGATTATGGTGCAGTGGAGATCCAGAGTCTAAGGACAGAGAAAAAATTTGTGGTGAATGGCCATCGTCTTAAGCCGTATTATGAAGGGGCTCCAGTTGAACGGGTGGAGACGATGCATTTGGAGGACCCGATGTCCTTGTTTTGAGCAAATTATAGGCTATGTCTAGCCAAAGACAATAAAGAATGGCGCTCGTTTGGGAGGCAACCCGAATATTAGTTTTATTACTTTTAGTTGTTTGTGTCTTTTATTTTGTCGTTCTCTCGTTGGGTAGTAGAAATATTAATACTTTTCTTCATTGTGATCAGTGGATGAAGACCGATCTTGGCGTGCCCACGCGGTGTTTTGTCTCCTGAGATCAGTGGATGAGGACCGATCTTGGCGTGCCCATGCGGTGTTTGTGTCTCCTGAGATCAGTGGATGAAGACCGATCTTGGCGTGCCCACGCGGTGTTTTGTCTCCTGAGATCAGTGGATGAGGACCGATCTTGGCGTGCCCACGCGGCGTTGGTGTCTCCTGAGGTCAGTGGATGTTTTGTAATCTTGGCGTGCCCACGCGGTGTTTGACGACCCAATACATGAAATTTTTTTTTATATATATATAATTATTATTATTATTACTTTCATTAATAAAAAAAGAAAAGATTATTTTCTTTCTAAACCTAAAAAAAAAAATAAATATAACAAAAATAATAAATATTTTCATCTAAAAAGAAAAAAATTTCAGCAATTTCCAATTGGAACGGTGTACATTAACGTATTCTAAAAAAAAAAAATAAATAAAAAATTTTCCTTTTTTTTTTCTTTTCTTTTTCTTCTTTTCTTCTTTCTTTCT